CCCCAAAACCCCAAAACCCCAAAACCCCTAAATCCTATAAATAAATCATAAATAGTTTAAATATCTTTAAGAAATAAATTAAATTGAGTAGTTGAAAAGATTAACCTATTTATTTCTCAATAGTTTTAGTTGTACTCTGATGTCAAAAAGCTTGAATTAATTATATTTTTAGTATTCTTCTAATACACCTAGGTTTTTATTCTTTATTTGTATTAAGATGCCTCATCATTGCTATGACGAAAATCAATCATAGTCGAAGATAAAGGATTATAGACAGGAGTTAATGTAGATTTATGTGATCTAGCTGACAGTACTTCAAACTAATCCAGGCTTTCATCAAGAACGTTGCTATTATATCTCTCAGAATTATAAAGCATTGATTATGTTTGAGTAAGATTTTTTATCTCACCCAAATAAGCGAATATGTACAAGAATATCATGGCAGTCATAAAGGTAGAGACATCAATGCCGAACGTTAAGTTTGCCAGTAATTTTTAATAAGAATTGAAATTGTCACTCTAAGGGAATATGAATCTGCTGAAAATTATAGGGTATGCAATGTCGATCAAGCCAATTCTCAGAAAATAAATTGTAATTATTGCCATCAAGAGGTAATTTATCTAAAAAAAAATGATTTAGACACAAGACAATTACCAAAAATCTAATTGAACTACACTTTTTATTAGGAATGTTTTGAATTCCCATTTCCTATCTCATTCTCCATAATTCTTTTAAATAGTTTGTAAATATATAAACGTCCAATATTAAGTTCACGAGCTAAACTAACCTAATAATTATTAATAGCAATAAATTTTTACAGATTTACAACATCAAGAGGCTGGATCTTAGAACTTTCAAAATTAGGATTTTATGTGACATATATTGTCACTGAATACCCTATATTAAAGAGCAAGAATATAAATGCAAAGACTAAGATTTTGAAGTTAGTTTTCTACTTTATCTATCAAAATTTTTCAAAATCATCTGTTTAAAGTAAGTCTCTTACTAAAATCCTATTATCTCAATTTTAAGAATAATTACAATCTAAATGTGAGAATCTTAATAATAACGAAGAATAGTGTATTGGTCATATTTTCTGCACTTATTTGAAATGATTTAACACTCTGAATATATATTAATACTATCCATGCCAACATCTAAACTGTTATGGAAAGTTAAAGATCATAAATTTAAAAAAATATTTGAAATGATAATTCTTACATATAAGGATGAGCCAGAAGATATATAGAGTAGCTTTTTAGTATATGTCCAAGATAGTAGTTTTTATGCAAATAACCCAGAATAGGGATAAAGTATAAATGCTTGCAGCAATCAAATTACAAAACGCGAAGATGTATGCAGCTTGTACCATTAATAAATAAATGGAAATTATAGTTTTAATATTTTAATATCTA